AGTATTTGTGGAGATTTCATAGTTTATTTTGTTCAGGTTACGTTTCAACTGTTTTGTGTATATAGCTTCAAGAATTTTTACTTTTTGTTTATTGTTTTCCTTTTTATGTATAGTTGTGTTTTCAACAAGGATTTTCTGGAATTGTGTATGCGGCCAGGCATGTCATTTTAAATGCCTAAAAATGTTATCATTCAAATGTACTGTCAAGCGTCGTCAAAGTGAGTTTGTGGTGCGACCAACATAAATATTATTTAATTCGTTGGAGATACAATCTCCCAAAGGGCACTTGAATTTGTAAACCATGTTGTTTTTTTTGCAAATCGCGAAACGGGGGTGGAGAGTCATTGCGAATAATTAAGTTGGATATACTAGATTTAGTGTAGTATATACTAGATTTAGTGTAGTATATGTTTAACTTAATTTTTTTCTGTTGTAGATATATTAGTATTTACTAATATTTTTAGTATATTTTCATCTTGTTTATAATTAGTATGCATTTGAATACAATATAGGAGATTAATATGTTTGAGATTAGTAGAAGCAGTATTATGTACTGTTTGCTTAGTATTGAGATTTCTAAGAAAACATCTTACTTGTTCATCAACTATATAGTTTGGAAAGCTATTATTAATAAGTGTTTTATATTCTTTAGTTCACTGTACACAATCTGTCTTGTGGATGTATTAGTTTCTGCACGATGTATTAGATTCTTTAGAATTGCTATTTTATAGTAATATGGACATTCCATCTTGTAGTTAATTGTACATGAATTTATGCTGTTAGATTTTTTGTATGGCGAAATAGTAAATTTGTTATTATTGGTGTTTATCAAGGAAGGGGATTTTATTATTAGTATTGAGTTCATACGTGAATTTAAGGACAGAATTATTTTGGAAACGTTTTTGAAGTTGAAGTATTTCATCTGTATTTTTAACTAACATAAGAATATCATCAACATATCTTAGGTAGATGGATGTTTTTTTTAATCTGTAAATATCTTATTTTCGAGGTTCGACATGTAGAAATTGCTAAATGTCGGACTCAGTACTGAACCCATGGAGATACTATCACGTTGTATATATATATATATATATATATATATATATATTATTATTATTATTATTATTATTATCTAAAAAAGGGATGAGTTACTGTATATATTTCTTATAATTATGTCAGTAGTTTCACTAACAGGGAGATTGGTAAATAAGTTTTCAACATCAAGTGAAGCTATGATTTCACTGTTGGGTTTTTCACTTTTTAGGATTTGGAATCCTTCTAATGTTGACTTAACATTATATTTACTAGGAAGGTGGGGAGTAATAAGTTGGTTAATGTATTTTGTTAGCTGTTATACAGGAGTTGGAATTTGCGATATGATAGGACGGAGAAGATAGTTAGGTTTATGTGTTTTTATAGTGCCATATATGTAACCAGGTCTATAATCACCAACAATTTTAGGGAGTTTTAAAGAGTTCTGTTCAGCATTATTAGCATTAATGAGTTTATTAAGCTTTGATTTTAGTTGGTTGGTCGGGTTCTTGTTGAGTTTTTAAACTTTATATGATCATGGAGTATATGGTCAAGTTTTTTGTTGTAACCCAATCTGTTTAGGATGAAGAAAATGTTGGTCTTATCAGCTTTTTTTTCAATTATGTCAGGTTGGTTGCATAGTTCTAGTGTGGCAATTTTTAGTTGTTTAGAAAGTATTTTTGAGGAGTTTCTGCTTTTATCACGCCGATCCTTGAATGCCTCGGCTTTAAGTAAGTCTTTAAATTCTGGTGTAGTTTCTATTAGTTGTTCATCCTGGAGTTTAACAATGTTTTGGTATAGCGTCTCAATTTCTATTTTTTTAAAGAGTCAATTGTACTTACGTTATATATGACAGTTAGGTCCAAGGTTAAGTAAATTCTTTTTGGTGCTTAGTTAGTTCATAGTTGGAAAGGTCAATGAATTTCCAACTATGAACTCTAAACGACATGCCATACTTAATACTTCTCGAATTCATTTTCGCGTGATCATGTGTGACGTCATGACCTGCGGTGCAATTTTCGCTTCCAGCGTCCTATATGCATGAGTTTGTCGTTGCTTGGAAATATTCCATGTAAACTGAAACAGACTATAATCACTGTCTTGTCCGTGTATTGCTTAATATATTGTAATGTAATTGTCATCTTTGATAATGGCTTATGTAAACTGAAAGCTTAGATAGGATTAGAATATATATATCAATAAGTGATTTTCTTTCTTTCTTTAATGATAAAGTTATTAAGCTTATCAGACAAGATGAAAAGAATTTACATAAAATAAATAGACAACACTTGTCTATATAATTTAATGTAACATGTATCAATGAATATATATATATATATTTTCAAAAGGGACATTCAAATATTATTTAGTCAACTTTTTAATATCTCTATTTTTATTTTATTCGTTTCCACGTAATATATTTTATCTAATTTATTTACTATTTCAGTACATGTTAATGTTAAAATTAATACATTAGAATCTGCTTATGTATTCATAAATTATTTTATTTATGATAAAACAAATATATGTTAGTTTCATTTTATAAAATTAGCTATTACGTAAAGATAAAAATTGGCAATGTTTACAAAAAACCGAATTTCATTGATTTTAATAAATTTTTATAATTTATATATATATATATATATATATATATATATATATAATATCATTCGCATACAGGCCTGTTTCACTGTATCACAGCTCATCAGTGCGACTAGACAACCGAAGCTAGGATAGAAACCCGACCGATTTGACATCTGTCGGAGTGTTTACCCCATATATATATATATATATATATATATATATATATATATATATATATATATATATATATATATTTGCAGCATGGCTCGTCGTTGCCGGTGCTTAATTCAAAAACCGTACGACTCATACAGCAATCGCTATTACTTGACTTAAAATATTTTTACCCTTCCTTGCCTTTAAAGGAGTTCCCTTTGCCGTGCTGATGTTGCTACATGCCTTATTTCTTGCCTGCGAATTTTGTCCAAGCTCTATACTAAACATTAAATCTGTTACGAAAAAAGAACTAAACAAAATGAACACAAAACGATCAGCTTTAAAAAAGGTCTCGTAACTGGAAAAACCGAATGAAAAGAGAATGTTAACAACAAATACTTTTTCACACCCAATCCAGTTCTGCGGAATCAGAATCAACGTTGAGTTTAAGCAAGCGAATGAACCAATTGGAGTCAAGTGCCATGCAGATTAAAATTTTTCCCACTAGTGACGAATTCAGCTATCGATTTTTTTTGCATGCTAGTTAACATTCGTGTCAGTCAGCTGTTGGCTCTCACACTGGCCAATAGAATCTTCTTGACTATTCGTGGCAGCCAGCTATAGGCTCTCAGTCTGGCCAGTAGAAAATGGCCGCAAACTACATGAAAACTGCCGTAGAAGCATGAAAAAATTGATTATTTCCACTATCGATGGGAGATGGGAAATGCAAAGTCGGTCTTGGCTTTCCCGCTAACTTGGAGCATGTGCATGTAAATTTTGGTACAAATCCGTCGAAAATTGCGGCCGTGCATTCGTTACACACACACACACACACACACACACACACACATCCTGCCTTATATATATATATATATATATATATATATATATATATATATATAATAAGCAAGTTTTAGCTTTGCTTCTCCTCTGCTCTGCCTCTGTGTTTTCCTTCAGGAATTATAATTTCCAACAAGACTTTCAGCGATCAAGTCTTTTTGCAATTATTATTGTGTTTGCTCTCTCCATATACATTATAGCTTGGCTCTGTGGGTGTTGAAGAAATAGAAAACATGCTTGAACAGGTGTCTGGAAAAAGGCATTATCTTGCCAGCCTTGTAGACTTCATACTCTCCCGAGACTGTTGGACTCCTATTCTTTGATTTGTTTTTCAAATATCGGTGTGTTACACTTATGGTTGTAAATTTCGGCTACGTTTGTAAATTGCATCATTTAAAATTTTTTAAAGGATATTGTGATTACATGAACGAGTTTTATTTCATTAAAAATATACATAGAGTTAGTCAAGGAAATACTTTTGGGAAATTGGTTTTATTTCTGATGTCTCAATCTCTGTATCATATTAAGAGCGTCGTGTGAACTGATTCTTCTTAACGTTTATTACCTTTTATCATTCCTGATTACATACCTTTAGTTTAATTCTAGCGAATGAATGCTAAACATCCCCACCCTATATTTATAAATAAATCCAATAGATACTTGCTGGGATTTCTTCTTAGTCAATAAAAATGGACAATTCTTGATCTTCCCTACGCATTTTTTTTGCCATGAAGTCAATAACCACTCGGGCGTATTCTGTTTGCATATCGACACGGTTTCTTTTTCAATCAGTGAAGTGGCATATAAGATACACGCTTGGGCGATCTTCAATTCATGACTGACTGAGCAGATTATTTTCCCGCTATTGGGCGCCGTTTCTTTCTGCGGTAGACAGATTTCAGACTAACGCTACAGGACCCCATCTTTTATATTATTCATCCCATAGCTTGGAGGAGAAAAGCTATATTCATAACTTTGCAATGGTTAGCAAGCTTGTCTTAATAGATCAATTAAGACTGAGTAGTCAGTTCGATCTACGCTATGGTGTTCCATACTTTCGGCCTTGTTTCCATATGTTAGCTATAATAAGTAAATCACTGGACACTTCGACGTGATGTAATGATTAGAAAGCTTGTCTCGCTAGATCAATTACGGCTGTGTAGTGAGTTCGATCCTTATCGAGTGTAGTATACTTTAGTCCTTGTACCGCATCTAAGCTACGTTTAGAATTCCACCATACCATTACCATGGATATTTGAGCGTACGTGAACGTAAAGAACCCGACTAGGATTCGAAGTCGGATCTCCGGTTAACCATTCCGAGCCATTAACACCACAACACACAGTTTTTTTTACTGTCTTATGATTATTTTCATTTCTATTTTCTTATAGATGCCTTGCTTTGCATTACAGTGTTCATTTCCTGTATTATTTTGCCCTGTTCTTTCAGTATTGTAGTTACTGGAATTTTTTGTCAATTTCACTTAAAATGACGGCTTATTTAAGAATCAGCTTCGGGAACAAATCAAGTACCTGTCACACCGCATACATATTTGTTTTTTGGCATGTTACGTATTTTCTCTGACGATCATGTCCTTTCTACGGTTTTATTAATGGCAATATAATGATTTACGGAAAAGAAATTTAGACCACGTTTCCGGTTGGTGGTACTGTGCTGAGAAGCATCCCCTTGTTCTGTTATTTAATTAAATATTTATTGCATTATTGAACTATCTGGGGTCAAATAAAAAGCAAACAATCCGTAATTAACAACAATTTCAAGCAGACCCCGTATAATCGGTTTTTCGTCAACCAGATTCAGACAGCTTTGATATAACTTCTTCAGTATTTGTAACCTTTCTCATTGATTTCTAAACGTTTAAAAAGTACAGTAATGTACTGAACAGAAAACTTAATAAACAAATTCGAAAATTTGCTCTGCATTCTCTAAATTGCTTCGGTTTGCATATTTTAAATTCAAGTTGGTAGGTGGGTTGATTATGCTTAGCAAACATTTATGGGTTATATGTCAAAATCTAAATATTTTGAACACAATTTAATGGTTTCAAGTATAGATAAATTATACAGTTTTTCATTGTGCAATAATATTTATTGTCGGTAACTGTTTTAAAAATGCATTTTTATGTAAAAATGTATTGCTGGTATTGTTACAATAACATTATATTTTTATACTTTCATATTTTTTTTTTCGTTAGGGGGTTCCTTATTTGCCCATAGCAGGCAGACTAACAGGTGTTACCACCTTGGGTCAGGGTTGATCTGGAAAAAACAGCAACTAAGAGGTGGTTTCACGCCCTTCAAGGCCGCCAATCTTCCGATTCGAACCCTTGCTGCCGTATGTAGTTTATAGTCATACCCATAAATAGGAAATAATCGCAATGAAAGTTGTCGTACAGCTGGTTGGAATTATTTTTTTTTTTTGGCGGGGGGGGGATTTTATAGCTGATTGTAAGTTCGAGGTGCCGTTAGACAGTTAAAGTCGTTAACTCAGAATTAGCTGCATTTTGACAATAACAATGTGAAGGTATGTAAATATTCAACTAAAGTTTGCTTATATGAGTGTATTACTTATATAAATAATAATAAACCTTTCTTGCTTTATAGAGCTGACTTTGATGCAAAAATGACGACAATGCACAAATGCATCATCTGGCACTATAGAGAGCAAATCAAACATATCCAGGTTCAGGAAATTACATCAACAATTATTTATAAATTAATAAATCCTATTTTTGTGATGTCAACGAACACCAATTGACACTTTTATGATGTCAACAAATACTTGCTGTCACTTTCGTAATGTCGACGAATACTCGTTGTCACTTTCGTAATGCTCGTTGTAGTAGAGACTTTGCAATCTCAGATACAACTGTAGTAAAACCATTGAACAATACTGGTGTCAGACGCCTTCGAATAACACTCAAACTAATAGTACGTACTCAATAATACTCGCTCGAACAGGAACCACATTATAGTGATCTGAATAGAGAAATAGTATAGTGAATAGAGTAGAGAATAGTGGTTCGTATAGTAATAGAGGATAGAGTAGAAATATTGATCCGTCTAGTAATAGAGGATAGACTAGAGATCAGTCATACGTCACGCGACTGCCTTACTTATGCGTTTCCTCTATGGTCACGTGGTCTACTTAATTCAAAAGTGGGATCGCCGGTGTTCGTTCACTGGCGATCTATGTTCAAACTCAAGAGTTGGCAGAGACACTTTATTCCTATAAAAGACTTATTTTTTAAATTAATATAAGTAAGAGATACCCATTTAAATAAATTAATAATTGTTACTCTAAGAAAACATATACCATTGTTTGAATGTTCAAATATCCTATGTAGCAAAGTTCGTGTTAAAGAACTGAATTAAGCAAGTGCAGTACTCTATCTCTTTCGCTATCTATCTATCTATCTATCTATCTATCTATCTATCTATCTATCTATCTATCTATCTATTTTGTCTCGTTACGTCATGTCATGAATATCATAACCCATTTGACTCGTATGGGCACCACATGTTTTTCAGCCGTCGCAGCAGGTGCATGACAAGTGCGAGTGCATCATCATCCCCCTTCTGTCAGCTATGGAATTCAGTTTTGATTCATATTGAGACGTTTCCACTCCAAGACAGGAGCAACCGGTCTGCCAGCCTTTCTATTAACTCATAGTTGGAATCCTAAATTATTTTGAGAAAGTGAAAGTAAAACTCGGAATTCGAACTCGGCGCGAGTCAATGATCGTTTCACGACTTTCACATTTCTTATACTTGGAATTATACTCCTACTTATTAAAAATGTAGGACTGATTGTTCATTTTTTTTTTAACAATGATGTTCACCCTGTACATTTCCCGAGAGCCACTCCAGGTAATGGGTTACACAATACGAGCCACAGCTTACGCGGGTATGTATAGAAGATAATGGTTAAAACTGAACTTGAAGATTTGAACTTGTATTATTTACATTATTCGGATTATTGTCATCTTTGTTGCCATATTTATTACAACGTTTCGGCCTTCTTCAGGTCGTTGGAATCTCGAACTAAGCCCTTTATTTAGCTCACTGGGGTAGACTGTTCTAGTTCCACGTGCCATGTTTAATAAATTTTGCTGTTATCATTGCATTTTTTTACCAGAGCTAATATTGCAATATGAGCACTGGTAAAAATGGTTGCTGAAGACATTAGGTTTATAATACCCATAAATTCATACCCAGAATGGGCACACTGCATAACGCCGTAGGTTAGATCCAGTTAGAGGACCCAAAGAGTGTCAGTTCAATACACGGTTAAGGCAGTGGAGAAATTTCAGAGGAAAAATTAACAGAAGATAACTGATAACTGATATCCATCAAACATGGCACGTGGAACTAGAACAGTCTACCCCAGTGAGCGAAATAAAGGGTTCAGTTCGATATTCCAACCAACTGTAATACATATGGCGACAAAGATGAGGACAATAGTCCGAATAATGTAAATAATGTACATAATACCTCATCTCAGAAATATAGACAGAAACTTGAAGCTGTCAAGATTGTACTGATCTGTGAAGAATCCATTTGGGATTAGGTTTCTTAGAGCTGGGAAGAAGCTGTTCGAGTGGAACGTACATCTCACCAATGGAATACTATGTGCATGACATGCAGGTGTCCTTGCCATGAAGGTCAGGACTTGTAGAATTAATGATTGTGTAAAGGAATATATGAATAAAATACATCTACCCTAGTTTATTTTACTAAATAGAATTTTTTTTTAATTTCAACCATTTCGTAAAATTATGAAAAAACTGCGGATATTATTTTAATATTGGATATAAACAGACATTTCAAGAAGTCTTATTGCATGTTTGGAAATTTGTATTTTTTTTAATTTTTATAAATATATCTCACATCTGACCTTTAATTTGAATGCTTTTCTTTTAATTTTATTTCTTTTCAAAGATTCGAAACGTTTCGCACTGATCGAAAATGAAAGGCAACGAGTAAGGAAATCTTATTAGACTCTTCTTCTTCTTCTTCTTCTTCTTCTACCTCTTCTCCTGCTCCCCCTCCCTCCCTCTCCGTGTTGTTATCCCTCTTTTTCGATCTTTCATTCTCAGTCTTTAATTCTTTCCTTTTTCTCTTCATTACAAGTTCCTTCTTTATTTTTCTCTCTCTCATCTATTTTCCCTATCTCTCTATCTCTCCCAAACTCCTCTTCCCTTCTATATATCTCTTTTTGAAATATCTCTTCCTATCCCTCTTTGTCATACTTGTTCTCTCTATACATCCTTCATTTTCTTTCTCCCTCTCTCTTTCTCATTCTTCTTTGTTTTCCTTCTTTTTCATTTATTTATTTATTTCTCCCGCCTTATCCACTCTTCTGTTCTCACCCCCATCTATTTCTCCATCCCTCCTCCTATCTCTTTTTCTGTTACTTTCTCTCTCTCACTAAATCTCATCTATTTTCCCTCTCTATTTATCTCGATTCTCTTTCTGTCTAACTCTCGTGCTAACTTTCTCTTTTTTTTCTGCCCCCGCTATCTCTTACTCAGTATTTATATATCTCCTTTATTTCGTTCTCTATATATTTCCCCATCTCTCTCTCACCTTCTCTCACTTTCAATATTCTATATTTCTCTTTCTCTCTCGCTTTCCTTCGCCGTCGCTCCTTCTCTCTTAGTCTTTTTTATTCCCCTCCCTTTACATCCCTCTATCCCCCTTTCTCTTTCATTTTCTCACACGACCATTCTCTCCCCACCTCTTTATGTAAGACATTTTCTTTTTCTACAAAGGAAATTTCACAATCTTATGGCGGTGAATGCTGGACAAGTTCATCGCAGAGGGTGGAAAGACTTGAGGCAACAGAAATGTGTTCTACAGAAGGATGCTGAGAATACCATAAACAAAACACGTGAACAACGACCAAGTTTTTAAAAAAATGGAGACAAAAGGGACATCAGAAAGAGATAGTTGAGATTTCTAGGGCACATACTGAGGAAAAGGAGCTTAGAAAATGTGGCACTCACAGGATGTGTTGAAGGCCAGTGGTCAGAGAAAACCAGTGCATAATCTGGATAACGAGATTGTGTAAATGCTTAGCAGAACAAGAATTAGAGTATAAAGCACAAATAAAATATATTAACGACTAAAAAGGACAGGAAATTGTGGAGAGCCACAATCGCCCATGCCCTGAAAAGACTCGATACATAGAAGAGGAATTATATGACACTTTCATTTTCTGTGTGTTGTTTATTTTCTTAGTTACCTTAGGGAGGAATTAACCAACTGAGTCTGACCACCGCTTTGCCTGTGGTAGAGAAAAACGACGTAATGCCCAGCCGCCCGTTACACGGTTGGTAAACACTTGCCTCGTATTTTGCTCTTGACTGTTTTATTTTTATATTTGCAGTAAAACATTACATAAAATTATGTACAAATATCTGTAGTTGAAAGCATAAATTTACGTACAAAATATTTAGATTTCAGTATTAAATAGACCCATAGAAGTTGATATATCGTTAAACAAAATCAACAATAACTATTTACAGTAAAATTACCAACAATAATTATATATAATAAATTCCTCCAAATACATATTCAAAGCAAAATGACCAACAGTACATTTATCAGTAGTTGAAGGCAGACAACTGCGTTAAGTATATATATATATATATATATATATATATATATATATATATATATATATATATATATATATATATATATATAAATAGTTGAAGCCATAAAATTAATTCAAAAATATTTAGATTTCGGCATTAAATAACCCATATTGGTGTTGATATGCCACTAAACAAAATCAACCAAATTACCATCTTTTTCAGAGACTTATTTTATATTAAAATCTGCTTCTGCCCAATCCGCTGAAGTTATTAATAGTGTAAAATGCAACTGACCAATCAGAGTGCTTATTGCATTTAACGTTGTTAATCGTCTGACCTATATACGAATTTTCATTGGATAATCGCAAGTCTCTTCAAATAAGGATGCGTCTTATAAACCCGTTAGATTTGAATTCCGAAAAATACGGTAATTCGAATAATGGCGTATATGGAAGTAATGTCACGTGCAAAACGGTTTCACGGAGGCCGACGACAGAAATGCATGTATAAAATCAACAGACATATCAATTTTATTTTATACATATCTATATTATTTGCGAATTTTGACTCTGGAGCTCCAGCAGGGGGGTTAAAATTGTACTGGAACGCTGCAATCAAGGGGTTAATCATTCGGGAGAAGAGAAAAAACGAGCAAACATTCCACGTGATAATCTAAACCTTTAATAGCTCTTAAATATTTTACTTATCAGTCATGAATGTCTCGTCTATATGTCCGTGTTAAATTAAAATGTAACTGATCAACTATTAATTCGCTAATCTTTGTCATTGCGAAAAACACTGGAATCATCTAGTTCTATTTACCTGTTTATTCAAGCAGAGAAATTTGGCCAGACGTGTCGACTAAAACCTTGCAGTAAAAAAAAAAGCTAAGGAACTTGCATGACAAGGAGCAATGAAGCATTTGGCAAGTCAAGTTGGGGAGAATGTGTCACTACAACTAATATTTCAATACGTCTTTAACATCATTAAACTTTTCATGATTTATTATCCTAATGCAACTATTATGTCGTCCAAATACAGAGAATAATGATTTTACTTTTCTGGATATTTTTATTATCATTATTGATCGGGTTCAGTTAGAATTGACTATGGGGTTAATGGCTTTTAGCTACGACAGAGGCTGTTATGCAAGATAGATTGTCCAGTTTCACATAATGTTCATATTACGCAAATGAAACGTTATGATAGAGAAAGAGACAGAGACAGAGTGAAAGAGGGGGAAATCAGTAAGGGGAGAAATAAAATGCAGAGGAGAGAGAGAAAGTGGGACACAGTGGGAGAAAGAAAAAAGGTAGAGATAAGGAGAGGCAGAAAGATAGAGGGGGAAGAAGGATGGAAATAGTGACAGAAAAGAAATGAGAAAATCAGAGAGAGAGGTGGAGCGGAAAGTAAAAAGCGGGAAGGAGCAAGATAAAAGGCAGAGGAAGAGAGGGACAGGGTGGGAGAAAGAAAAATGAGGTAGAGGTAAGGAGAAAGAGAGAGAGAGATGGGAAAGAGGGGTGAGAGACGATGAAAGAAAAAGACAAGAAAACGAGCGAGAGAGAGAGAGAGATGGAGGGAAAGAAAAAGCTGGATAGATAGAGATAAAAAAAATCGGAGAGGTAGAGAGAGACATAGTAAGAAAGTTAAAGGTAGAGATAAAAAGAGAGAATACGAGGGGGATGGAGAGAGAAGGAGTGATGGAGAAGGAGGGAAAGAGAATAACGATGAGGGAGAGTGATGAAAAAAAGTGATGGATAATGAGAGAAGGATAGAGAAATAAAGAAGAGAGAAAACATGGAAGAAAAAAGGCGGTAAGAAGAGAGAGAGTTTTTACTTAATCCTTTTACACGAAGCAAGGCGATAAAATCACTGAAATGCAAGAGGTTACTAATGCTGACATGATATTCTTTTTCTATTCAGGGCGTTAGCGACCATAGCTATTCATAATTTCCTGTACTTTGTAGCGCTTAATAAATGTCTTTTTCGTATCACTCCTAAACCTTGTTCTGCCACCCATTTACTCAATGGGTTGTAGCCCCTCTTGCCTTCAGTCTGTCCGTTGCGCACATGCACGATCCATTGTATTCCCAGCATTCTTCTGTAGAAACCCATTTCTGTTGTTTCAAGTACCTTCTTAATCTGCGAGCAGATTGTCTAGCATTCACTGCTATATAAGAAGACTGATATTCGGTAACAGATCAGTAAAATTTTGTTTGTTGCAAGGATATTTTTCTGTTTCTTAATAGTTTGTTGTATCTCGTGGTTTCCAGATAACAGTGGGAAATAAATAAGGAAGACAAAATCCTAGCTAAGTAATGAAATAGAAGTTTTACTACACGAAGGAATACTTAGCAATTGACCTAATCCTAACTCGGTATTTACCCGATCTTTCAATAGTGTGGGGTGAGGCTAAAGCCCGGCTTAACGTGGCTTTTACCGAGCCCGTAGGTCCGGGCAAAAATGAGACTCTGTAATAACGGGGTAGGCTTTGTCTACCTCCCCAGACGAGACTTTTTCCTTCGCCATAGCCCCGTCTTTGTTCCTCTCCGCCCCAAAAGGAGAGAGTTCGACAAGCACTAAGTGATGAGCACGCGGCTAAGACTTAATGCTAACTCCTCTCAAATTCTTTTATTTATATAAACGGACGATTCCATTCATTTATGTCTTATATGACATACTTTGCCCAGCTTTTGCAAGGCATCTTTCTCAATCTGAATACACCTTCGGATTTCAGTGTCACAATTTATCTATCACTTTTGAACGGTCTATAAAACACAGGTGCACATACTTCTGCATTTGTATGTCTCACTCTGATAACACTTTGGATATAGAAAAGCATTACTGAGGAGAGATGCCAGTAAAAGATTAGGATAGGTTGATAATTCAGGTGAAAAAATGCATCCTGTACTTACACCTTTCTATTTTTATACATTTAATGAATGCATTTTCTATGCGTATTCAGATTGTTCGCTGCCAATATAGGCTCTGGATTATTCTAATATCCTTCCCAAATATGTCACGGTTACTTAGAAATATCAACACTTATTTGTGACGTACTAGTGGCCTCCTTATGTATAAGTGTCCTTTTTTGTTTCTAATTTCTCTAAAACATCGTCGTTGCTCACATTCTCAACCTCATTCTGGAGAACCACATTTCTCTTGCTTCAGATCTCTTCTTCATCTGTGAGAAAATTGTCCAGATTCCACTGCCATATAAGATGACTGATATTACATAGCAGGTCACCACTTATTTCTTTGTTTCGAACAAAATTTTCCAGTTTAATAATACGCTGCTTAGCTTCTGGAAGGCACCTTTTTCTCTTGCAATGCGCCTTTGGATTTCAGTGCCGCAATTTCCGTCCCCTGTTAAAACATTTCCTAGATAATTAATATTTTGACTGTTGTGTTGTTCTTTTGCTAACATTTCGTCTTATTACAGTTGATATTTATTCCTTTCGTCTCGCTTTCTTTCATTACATTCTGTAGTAATTTTGTTGTTTTCTTTTGTGTTACTGCTATCAAAACTATGTTATCTGGATAACTTCTCTTAACTAGATTGTAGTCGCCAATAATGAATCCTGGTAGGAATTTTATTTCTCTCGGAATCGCTTCACTGACATTATATATTTACTGAACTCATTTTCTATCTGTATGCAAGTGATTTGCATCCAGTATATATTCTTGAATATTCTAACATTCTTTCCAAGTATGTCAAGGTTACCTAGAAGTTTCAACAATTCTTTATGGCGTATATTCTCTGTCACTTTTGAACAATCTATAAAACACAGGTACACATCATTCGGCATTTGCATGTCTGTATCTGATATCATTCTCTGCATAGACATATATAACTGAGGAGAGAGGCCAATAAAAGATGAGGCTTCAAGGATAGAGAGGATGACGATTGACATTGCATTTAAATTATGGAAGATCGACGTTGGCAGAAAAACTGGAAAATATTACAGCCAATAAATAAAGTCTTAGAATATAACTTATGCATACACCTAGCAATTTTGATAGAGAAACTATTGAACCTAACTGAAAATAAAAAGGATATATATATATATATATATATATATATATATATATATATATATATATATATGGAGAGAGAGAGAGAGAGAGAGAGAGAGAGAGAGAGATAGTGAATAACCAAATTCACATTCACATTTTACCTTCTTAATCAAGAATGGTGGCATAACAGAGAAATAATATTTTGCATATTCTTTAAGCCCCCCTCTTGACACAGTTATTAACTGAATTTAACTAATATTTTTACTCTATAGCGCTTAGTTTATATGATTCATACTTTACTTACGGCTGAAATGTCTATCAGAGTGACTGAAACACGCTTTGATTGATTGATTTATTTTTTACGGTTTATCTACCTATTGAGAGTTATTTAAAACCGGAAAATATATTTACATTGTAAGAATTTTTTTTAGATAATAATGGTTTAGTGATACATGTCTTACTAATTAACCCATAACTAGGAGGAGAAAATGTGGATTTAAGTGAATTTCCGCTTAGGCAAATATAACGGCCCAACCGGAACTGGATCTCGGCTCACTGATTAAAAATTCCGTGTGTTTATCCATTAAGCCGCCCGTACATCCAAGCTTACATCGCATGATATTTCCAAATTGTTGCCCATCTAGATACTGACCAGAATTGTTTAGCTTCGATGATCGTACTGGAAACGAATTTTCAACGTGATCTGACCGTAAGCCTGAAATACACGTCATCTGCAGTTAATGGAGAATCACTGGAGTTAAGTGCATTGACGATGAAGGAGAGTATGTTGAAAAATAAATATTTGCTGTGTAGAATTCTTTTTTCGGTATTATGCTACTGACATAGTGTTACATCGACGTATCTGGCCACAGGAAATAAATGCATTTGTAATACTGATTTTCGCTGAATGAAATGAACACAAACAAACAACTCAAACCGAAAATCGAATACAGTATGGCGGTTATGTGTTCTCTGTCGATAACTACTACACTATACATCACGCTCTTTCTCGAATCATAATTATTAATTATTAATAAAAACTAATCATTTCGCTGAATGAAATGTTTTCTGGTAACCGTATTTTTATCTACTAGTCATTTATTATTCTAACACCAAGCGACTTGTTTGGAACATTCAATGAGAATAGAACAACATGATGGGAATATTTTTGGGTTTTAATTCTGTCTAAGACAAAACCTGATATATAAAGCAGCTGATGCCACCACACATCATACCATTGATGTTCTAATGATATTTCAGTCTGGCACAGGATCATACCATTGATGTTCTAATGATATTTCAGTCTGGCACAGGATCATACCATTGATGTTCTAATGATATTTCAGTCTGGCACAGGATCATATATTTGGGTAAGCAGGGAGAATCAAACTATCCATAAAAAGTCATGTGTTCATTATAGCTGTCTGGTACACGGGTATATATCTAGGGTACACATTGTGGCATCCATCAGTCTCCAGATAACATGGATCTGCGCCCAAAGATTTATATTCCCTTCAAAGTCCTAGTCTGGGTAGGGTTCTTGATACGAAATCGATCAGGCCCATGCAGCACGTTCCCTCTCCCCATGCCACCAAAATTGTCCAGGTCAATGGCAGAAGCCAATACATTTTGCCAACTTCGTCGTCGCAAAAGTTACCTAAACGAAATTAAACATGCCATTCGACAGTCTTACGGACTCCAGCTCCAGATTTGTATTCTGAGATATCCTTCTGCTACACCAGTTGCCAACCATGGCTACCGAGCCCAGACTTTCCTACTAATTACCTATTGTTGGAGATTTTGAATTCAGAGTTTTCGTTCTCCTAGACCGGTCGCCACGACAGGCTATGGAATCTAGTCTGTCCTGCTATTCCACGCATAGCTTGGAGGAGAAAAGACGAATTCGTACATTTCCCAATGCAATAGCCATGAATGGAATTCGAACTCGGGTCTCCGATTCCTTAATCCGAGCAGCAATCCATTACTCCATCGTATTTCCATAGATCACAATAATAATTAAAGCACGGTCTGGCTCAAGGCCCCCACTGTCCAGATAACTATTCATTTTCTAATGTGTGGAATTAAGTTATATCAGGTATGATGGCATATAAGAATGAATCTTAAGAATGACTTTAAATTTTTTTTGCATCTTATATGCAAAAGCGAAGCTACACGTAGGCTAATTTTCTCTCAAATCTTGCTCAACACTGTAAGGTATAATTTTATCTTTACTTCTATCTAAGCCGACTGCGTAACATTATTTACGCATATGCAAGACTATTATTTTATTATTATTATTATTATTATTATTATTATTATTATTATTATTATTATTGTGGTATCATTTTGCCAGAGAGTAATTTTAAGTGATTAATTACCAAGTCCATGCCGGGGTCTGTGAGTAAAAATGGCACTGGAGGTGAGTTATCTATGTACATCGGGTAAGTTTCGTTTAGATGGAAAGGGTTTTTCACGGATGATATGCGCAGTTCTGTACAAATAAACCTTATGTAGCTCTGAGATTCTGATGTCTCTAGGGATTTTTACTCACATGATTTTTGGTGCATCTCTTTATCATATCCAAAACTCCTATCAGAATAGGGATAATCATAGTTTTAAGTTTCCTCATTTTTCGTTTCTTCGATTTGAAAGTTCTTATAATTTGACACTTTTGAAATTTATTTTTAGAAACATTGGAATCCTGTGAGCAAGTCATATCAATTATTTGGCAGGTTCTTTTTGTGGAATATTTTATAACTATTTCTGGTCTATTTGCATCAATTTTCCTATTTGTAAGGATTGGAAAATCCCACAGTATAACCTCTATTCATGTTATCATTCGAGTGCTGTTTTTACCATCTATCTTGGGTTTCAATATCATAGTTCGAACAGGCATGCCAGTGAATATGTTGACCTAGCCTGTCGCGTCTAATATATTTTTAAGCAACGACTGTGCTCCCTGTAACAATGTAGTCAACAGTTTCTTAAAATATATGGTTTAAGCGACAGGCGGGATTTGATCTACCTTTGTTGATATTAAATTGTAGGCATTAATTGGAAGACCTTGATCTTGTGATATCATAACAAGGCCTTCTGTCTCTCCGTATTAGCTTTGAAGTATTTATATTGCGTTTACCATGTAATTTCTGGTAAATAGGATTTATTCCTTTGCAGCCATTATAAATGCCTCTATCTCTACCCGTCCTTGGTATGACGATAAACTACGCCCAACAGCAAGACCTCTGATCAGGAGGTTTTGAGGATGGTGGAACCACCTCTTAATTGCTGGTGTTCCCAGGTCCACCGTGACCCGGGCTGGTAGCACCTGTTAGGGTCGCAGTTATGGGCAAATAGTTAACACACTAACTGAGGTCAAAACAATATTAAAATGTAAAAATAGGTTGTAATACCAGAAATACTCTGTAAAAAAATCGTTACCAGCAATAAAATTTTGAAAAAAAAATTTATTAACAAGAAATAGAATTTTTGAAAAAAAATATTACCGGAAATAGATTTTTTGAAAGAAAAAAAATATTACCAGCAATACATTTTTGAAAAAAGAAATTAAATTATCATCAATAAAAAAAATCTCGGCATTGAATAGCCCATTGACGTTGATATGCCGTAAAACAAAACCAGCCAAACCAAACCAAACCAAACAATCTATATCTGCTTTTAGCCCAGCACTCTTCTGGCTCTAATGTTTTACATCTACCGCACTTTATTATTATTAGTAGTAATATTAGTATTAATAGTAAAATTATTATTATCTCTTATTCCGCATAGTTTTACGTTTTCAACTAGTGATCGTGTATTATGGTTATTCTCCATTAAGTGGCACGACCTCAAACAGATGGAATCTTTTGCAGAATATTTGCAAAGTCATGTAATGCAGACTTCTGAAGCGATGGGATACTACGCTTTATTTTGATTTTCTTCATGTATGTCTTTAGCTTCGGTGGTATCAATAATACTTTGAAAATGTAGTATTATAATAAAGTACCAGCGATGTTCGCTGATACCAGCTGACTCATCATAACTAAATATGACTCAACATAATGTTATCGTTAATCCTTTAGAAAGTACAGAAGAAAGAGACGGAACTGGAAGGCAACACCGGTAAAATTTCATTTCTCTTTTAATCTATGCCCAACTCTCGTGTCCGCATGCTTTTTATAAAACGTTTCTGCTTTTTGTCTGAAATTCACGGACGAGGGTTGTTATTATTATTTATAATATTTATATTGGGTCTATTGTCCCCATCTTTGTTGTTGTTATCACAGCATTTCGTCAGTCGTGCCCTCTAGTCTTCCTCAGGTTTATATCGATTGTGTAACCTAGACGAAAGACTGAACTGAACATTTTTATTTAATCTACGGGCGTAGTCTGTCCTCGATCAACTGCCCATGTCTCGGGATATCTCGTCTTGTTCTAACATTTTAATGCTGCTCAGTTAAGACTCGACTTTGTCCACTGAGTCAAAATATACACTGCCCGGCCAAGGGATTGAACTCACAATTACTATATCACCAATTCACGAATCAACGCTTTAATCCTTCGAAACTGTTCACTATAGTGAAATTGGAGCCTTAAACCTAACCTGTCTGTTGATGAGTGCTGCTACTGCTTGTCATGTTTTGATTGCTGCTGAAGACTTGTCGACATTTTTACCTTTTTTTATTAGCAGCTCCCATATTGTATTTATTTATTTGTCTATTGTTTTCTGCTTTGTTTTGTTTTTCTTGCAATGTTTAATTATTTTAATCATGTAGTCTATTTTCACTACGTATTGTGATTACATTTGTTGTGTTCAGCCGTGGAACTAGTTTGCTTTTTAATGTGCATAAATGTTTTCTGCGATAGCAAATGGTTATTTTTGTTTTGGTAATCTACTGATTCATGCTTAAATACCCTGAAAATATTTTTATTGCATATGTCAAAATGTTGTGGTAGCTTGCTTTTTATAAAATACTTTTTGTTCGTTTTCTCTCGTAGAATTTTATTACTGTTATAATATAAATTATGTTCCATGTACGCTGTTTCTTGCTTTCTGCTAAGCTGTACTGTTATCTTGCATTTTATATACAGAAACGTTTTCTGCTACAGCTAGAGTGTTTTTTATGAAGTTTCCTAATGTAAGGATATTTTCTTCTTTATGTAGCGTACCCCCTCATGACATAAGAGATCATATCTCCACACAATTTCTTATCATTTCTAGCTCTAAATATATTCTGTCTTTTCGTTATTTCTCCCAAGTCTGCTTCCGCCATTATGTTATATCACGCGGTCCATATATCATACGCTGTTTTCCTCTGTCCCTATTCCCCTTAATCTGTCCTGTGGGTAT